ACGAAGTTATACGAGTGTGACATGATGTACTTCTTTACACTCGCGCGGTCAAAATAATGCGCGCGGTCCCACACGCCAGACAGCGAAAAATAGCGCGGTCGTCAACGTGTTAAAGCGGCTGCCTCCAGTGGTATTTCATATTCGATGTGTTCTTAAGCTGGCCCGACTCCCTTACTGTACAATAGAAAATGGGTATAATCAAAGCATAACATCTGCCTTTTTTATTGGTATCTTCCGCGACACTTCTGTTCTACATAAGTTCGTCTTTTCCTAAGTAGTGAGGTCATATACAATAGTAAAGGTAGTACTGGGGTGAGCGGCTTTTTGTTCCAAGCACTTAGTCCATCCAGTCCTCTCATTCCAGTCGTTTTGCAAAACCTTGCCATTGAAAGTTCAGCAATTAGTCAAAGACACATTTAAAACTGTCAATAATTCAAGTCAGAATTCCTGGAACTCCATCTAGAGCATTCCTTCCCATTTTCGAACCTGAATTGTTGTTGTACTTCTCACGAGACAATGTAGATGTTTAGTGTTTGTAGTTGATTACAGTGTCGACACTCACGGAAAACTTCTTACCAGCTTTTCGAGGTGGAGAAGGACTTTTTCTCAGTGTTTGCTGTCTACTTTCCTGCAGCCACAGGCATCATGGCTGGCGCCAACATAAGTGGCGATCTGGCGGATCCTCAGGTATTGCTTCTTTTCATTTTTCAGAATTATCGAGTGCTACACAGTTCAGATTTTGTTGTCATTGACAGGGATCGAGAACCTCATAATAAAGCTGCGAAGTCTTTTTCTGCTTTCAGAAGATACAATGAAATTGAATTTACGAATTTTCTAAGAAAATACGGACAAAACGACTTAATATCCAGTTCTTCTTCCTTCCTTTAGCAAATAATGACTAGTTTCAGCATGCTATACCGATAGGAACTCTTCTTGCCATAGCTGTAACGACGACGATCTATCTTGCGACAGTTTGGATGACAGGGTCGACATGCGTCAGGTGTAGCTTTTGAATAATTCTTTCTTCATTAACAACTCAAAAGTTACTTTGTGATTTGTTTTTTATCATTTACTTCGCTTTTGCCTCGGAATCAGCTTGCTCTTTCGAGTATGTGCTGCTCCGTGTTGTCCTGCGTGCTTCATTTCAGTTATTCTTCTCAGCGTCACGTCACATAAAATGTCGCATATTTCTATAGTCTTTTGTTCATTATTACAAGCTTACTGTAACCGAATATGCTCTACTCCAGCGGCTTAGTTTTTCACTCTCTGCAGTGCGGGATCGAATGACCTCGGAAACGGACTTTGTCTTGCTCTGTTTTCAGATGGAGACCTTGTCATCGAGCTACTGACTTTTCCTCATCACTGATCCTTGTGCTGCTATTGGGTGTCGGTCTTATAGGCAAAGCCCCTCTTGTACTCCATGTATTCGTGAGAACACTGCACACAGACCACATCATCAGTAAATTTGCTGGATGGTCAATCGAAGAAATTATGGGAACCATCGGCAACACGGCGATGTCAGAAACCCACATATTGGAATGTATTGCCCTAGCTCGAACTCTAACATAATGAGAACAACACACTTTACATTTTGAATCTAGCACTCTCTGTCTGGGACGCCCCCGCACACTCTCAGCCAAAATGTCATACGCACTCCGAAGCGGTTCCTGAGAACTCAGCTGCCCCTTAGGTTTGACAGATAGCTTCAATGTGGATCATCTCAAAAATTAAAAAAAAAAGCCAGTTTCGAGTATAGTGAGTCATCGGCGCACTGTGAGTTGAGTAAGCATCCCTCCGCTTCTTTGAGGTATACTAAGCTTGGCAAGCCGTTCAATAATCTCTATCAAGATAATTACAGCCCCATAAAGTAAGCCCAGTCAGAAGCTTCTCAAATCATGCCACCGATTCCTTCGTTTGTTGCTCAGTGACCGCTTTAGTACTTACATTTGAGAATAAGTCGCTACCCTGTGGCATTCCGATTAGTAAAAAAGTAATTAAACCAATCATACGGAAGGCTGTGTTTCACGAGCTGTTTTGTGCATACGCCCGTCATTAAGTGACAGTACGCCTGTGAGACGGTTGTGTAGCTGCACCTATCTGACGTTCTCATTCCAATAAAAACCGCATCCTGGGCAACTGGTTTTCTTTGCTCTTTTGTGTTGGACCGTTATAATTCAAATTCGCGTTCGCCACGCCCGTGCACGTTCACGATGTGTTGTTCAGTTTTTTTTGCTCAATCTTCCTCTGGTCTAGAACTTCCATCGCCTCAAGAAAATTAAAAACAGCTCCACTTTCTGTGTTATGTAGAACATGCCTTGGTTCCCTAGTTAGCTGCAGAATGGCCCAACAGATCTAGCTGGATCGCAAAGCTGCTTCTCAAACGACTTATTATGGATTCTTAACTTTTTTGACCCAAAATCACAGCTACAAACACGCGAATTCTTGCAAGCGTAGCAATATTTCTGTTGTGTCTTTCTCAAATGGTCTGAGCTAATGATGTTCGGCACGGTTAGACATTCTGGTCATCGTAAGACCGTTTTTTTCTCATTTCATTGCCGTTCGCGATTGGTCACTCGATCTGTTTTGCTATCCTGTCGAATGTTTGGCGAACTTGGTAGTTATGAACCGTCACGTCCATCTCACATTTTTTTTTCTCGAATCTCATTCATTATTCGATGAAAGGTCAAGAATGTTTTGTCGGTAAAAAAAAGGCGAACGAGGAAAGCGTGCGTTTCAAAGTACATTTTGAACCGAGATAGTTAGCAGGGTGAGAGATTGTATCTTTTATGCGACATGGCAAATTGCGCGCAGGAGCTTTCATGGCTAAACACGTTCACGTTGGTGGCAGTCCATGTGGGCTGCCAGCTACTAACCCCTACCAACCGTTTATCATAGTTTTTGCAGTTTTGATATTGAAGTCTTATAAATTGCCTAGACTACTTTGCGCTATTTGTTTTGTTTGTTTACTACAGAAATTAGGGATGTGAGGTGAGGTAATCGCGCCTGTCTCGACAGGGCGCCTCGTGAATGTTGCTCTTCTTTCTCGCGCTAATCCCGCGCAGAAAAACGGCACCTTGTGAATGCGTCCCTGGAATGGCTTCCACAACCGAGTTATTTAGGCGAATTTATAGTCATATATGTCAGTTTGAGTTTAAAGCTTGGAAGACCTTCATATTTATACTGTTAAGTTCATAAAGCCGAAATACAATTCACAGAAGTTAAGGCGTCGTCAACCCGGTGCGAACATTCCACACGTGCCGCCAGACGGAGTCTTCCCTCCCATAAGTGAAGAATTAAGAACAGTCCTTTCACACACGGCCACCAGACTGTCCCAGCACCCAATGCACAACGTGCCCTATGGACCTCGATGAACACTTCTTCCAGGATTCGTCTATATATATATGCCTGAAATATTACTGAAAATAATTTATATGCAATTGCAGATCAATGAAATGAATCATTGCTGGCGCGCTGTAATCACTGCAGAATCTTTGCTGCAACTCTTAGTTCTGCTCTTGCTAGTCTTGTCAGCGCTCCCAAAGTGTTCCAGGTATGTCGTTGCAATTTTCAAATGACGTTCCTATATTGTTTCAGTTCTCGTTCATAATGTCGCTTTGATTTTTTACCGTAATAACTACATCATTACATGTCGTTATTAAATCGAAGTTTAATTGTCAAAGGCAGATTTAACTGTTAAAACTACTTTTCTATCAGCTCACGAATGTGATAATAATTCTTGTGAAGTTGTGTCATTAAAAGTTCTTTTTTTTTTTACTACTTGGCATAAATTGATGACTCCGAAACTAGTGAGCAGAGATAACCTAAAAGATATTCGCTGTTCTCGTTAAATTTCTAGCCTTGTGTAAACCCAAAATTGTGCGAAAAAATTTTAGGCTGTGTGCAAAGACAGGCTGTTTCCGAAAATTGGGTATTTCGCCAAAGGATACGGGAAAAATGAAGAACCAAGGCGAGCCTACGCTCTTACATTCATCATAGCTATGGCCATGATAGGAATAGGTAAGAGTTTCTCCAGGTTTATTACGATTCGATCTGCACGCTACAATTCGACTTAAATCAGCGGCGCCTAGACATATTGTGGATGAAGCTGTTTTCATGCTTCCAAGCTAGCGTATTAGCTCTTGTTTCCTAAAAATTTGTTGGTTTTGAGAGCGCATATTCGATATTCATTCCACTTTGGTATGATCCTGAAGTGTGAAAGCCTTGGCTAAATCTTTGATTCCGTTTTTTTTGCACTTAGTCACACCTTCTGACTAATTCAGGTGATCTTAACGCAATCGCTCCGATAATCTCCAACTTTTTCCTCGCTTCTTATGCACTTATCAACTACGCCTGTTTCGATGCATCATTTGCTGACTCTCCAGGTTTGTTTTAGCACTTTTTAATCAAGAGTAGTTTAGAGAAAACACATTTATCCTCGCTGGATCTTATTTCTGCAAATTTTTAGGTTTCCGCCCTGGTTTCAAATATTACAACATGTGGGTATCCCTTGGAGGTGCACTTCTTTGCATTGTGGTTATGTTCATTATCAGCTGGGCAACGGCGTTGATCACATTTTTCTGTTTTGCTGCTTTGTTCATGTACATATTGCATCGTAAACCCGGTAGGTCGCCTATTACAATGATCCATAATCCTTACTTATTCGTACGTAATTCATTTTATTATCATTGTCTTGACACAGATGTTAACTGGGGCTCCTCTACACAAGCGCACAGTTACAAAAATGCTCTAGCAGGAATGATAAAGCTGGCTAATACCGAGGAGCACGTGAAAAATTACAGGTATGTTTTACATATTGCAAACAATTATAGTCTGTCGAATCTGTCTTTTACAGACCCCAAATACTGGTATTGTGTGGAAATGCGGCTTCAAGACCATCCCTTGTTGATTTTGCTAACAATATCACGAAAGGAACATCATTGATGATTTGCGGATATGTGGTTCCGGTACGTTGTTTTCTAGCTTTATTTTTTGTTAAATATTGCTTGCCCCATTTTTTTCAATTCCAGTATAATCCGTCCGACCGGGTATATTCTGTGATGCGAAAGTTAGAGCGCCAGCTGACTGAATGGTTGCGCAAACGGCGGGTCAAGGCGTTTTACGTTTCTGTTGCAAATTCCAGCCTTCGAGCAGGATCTCAGTCCCTGTTGCAGGTAGTTTCACTTTGCTAATCTTCTCAAATTATTCGTTCAACTAGCGAATGATGGATATCCTGTTTACCATACCTTCCTTAAGGTTTGCGGTCTCGGTAAACTGCGCCCCAATATCATTCTAATCGGCTTCAAGACTAACTGGTACCGTGGAGGACCAACCCCGCACACAATGAGCGAGCTCAATGAATATTTTGGGACGATTCAGTAAATTTTTCCGGCTCCTAACTACAGACAACTTAAAAATACAAAATTATATGCGTCGGGAACGACGTTGATTAATTCTTGGATTCTTACTTCGAGGATGCTTCGATAGCATATAGGCCCCGTGTGCGTGCTCCGCAACGCGCGAGAATGGGACTGCGAATTCACGAAGCCAGTGAGACTCCTGACGTGGGTGAGCCTAAACGCCTGGATATCAACCTCGATGATAAAGAGATTGAGAAGGAAGGGTTCGTTTTTTTCACATAATGAAAATAAGCACATGTGAGCTCGAAATTTTCCTCACCTCAGCATTGTTCATAAGCGAAAATCTTCAAGGATGAACCATTTAAAAAAGTATTGATGGTCAAACTTAGCGAGAGACGTTTCTGTTTTGCGCTTTCATAAAGGTGTAGGGCAGATGGCTGGCTTCAAAAATAGGGGAGAGACTCTTCGAAAAGAGGATCGACCTGTTCAGTTTATTGACATTTGCCGTAAATTTTCCATTGCGTTTTGAAAAACATTCACAAATGGACAGGAATTGAAGGGCCTTGCTTCGAATGAGCGTGAACTGACTATGAAATTATGTTCGTTAAAGTGGATTCAGTGCGTGCTTTACTACCGATATCTAGTCTTCTCCCTTTTTTAGGCTGGATCGCCTTCCCGTCCATCCGTAAACGATTCCGATCCGAAGGTAGCTCCTGAGCCAACAGATGGCAATGATGACGAAAAGGCTGAAACAGAATGTAAGCTTTGTTTATGGTGCTTCAGTTGCCGGCAAATTGTGTGATCATTTCCTTTTTTTCGTTGTGAAAGTTCAGCTCGACTTAGGGATGACTTTTGAGAAATTTGAATATTCTGTAGGTAACACTGTAGTTAACAATAAAAGTAGCATAAATAATGAAGTGGCGTGATGAACTTCGAATTTTGTCGTAATGAGAAAAGGATAAAGCATTTGCCGTTGATCAATCCCTTTTTGGGATGCGGCACGCATTCTACTTCCATTTGTACATTCGTAGTGGCGTTTGAATGCGATGTGGCCTATACAATGACTTGCGGGGGCCAGCCGATGTACAAGTCAGTGTTTTTATCCTCCCAGACAAGTCTGGTACCAATTAACCGACCCCGGAGGGATGGAAGGGCTTGGTTGGCCCGGGCGACTCACGACCCAGGATTTGATCCCGGACCGCTCGCGTGGTAAGCGTGCCACTTGCCACTACACCACTTCCGCCCATTTTGTCGCATTTTGTCGTAGTGGTAGATATGCATTATGCGTCTTCATGCCACCCTATTTAATTGCCACTCTGGCTAGCGCTTGCGCGTGCGTCACCAGCGATGTGGCTCGGAATCGCCGCATTTTTTGGTTCCATTCCAGTCTACCATAAATACTAGATATTTGACCGTTTGTCCGGGGTCTCGCCTCCAATTTTACTTGGTGCTCCTTATGATTTTCTGGTTTAGCTCCTAGCTCCTCGGTGTACGCCTTGCATGTCGTTGATATTGACCAAACATTTTTCGAAGGTCTATATCCCAATTTTTTGTTATCTTTATAGGATTCCTGGAAATTATTGGTGACTTCGCTACTGAATACCACCCAAGTAAAGGGCGCTTGGCCCACTATTGACGGAGTTTTAGCCATGTGCAGGAGTTAAAGCATGTTTAGCACGTAGTGAGCATTGCTGGTTCTACTATTTTTCGGAAATACAGACTGTTTTGAAACAGGGTTTT